AACCTAATAGCGATGGCCTCCAACCTAATAGCGATGGCCTCCAACCTAATAGCGATGGCCTCTAACCCAATAGCGATGGCTTCCAAACTACTTGCAATGGCCTCCAACCCAAGAGCGATGGCCTCCAGCCTAATAGCGATGGCCTCCAGCCTAATAGCGATGGCCTCCAACCTAAGAGCGATGGCCTCCTAGCTAGTAGTTTCCCCTTGATGAGCTCCTTTGGGAATACTGCTATTCCTTTGTGCTGCCTTTCTTGGCAAACATCAGCAAAGGAGAAGAACATCCAACAAGTGTTGGACCATAGCAAGACGCTTGTTCTTTAGTCTGGGGTCTGCAATATCCGATGAGATCTTCTGACACTCCAGCCGTTTGGGGAACTTGCTGGTGTTCTTGTTGGGTACTGAGGGGCAGTTGAGACCATAGGAAAAGAATGTGAGCAGACTCCCATAGGGCATCCGGGTGATTTTTAAATGCATTCTCATAGACAAAGAAAGAACATTTGACAAAGTATATGCTCTTCCTCTGTTTTGCTCTTTCATGTGCTTTTTATGTGTTTCTTGATTATTGTTCGTTATCTTGTCCTGTTGATTTCTCTTATTTCTCATCGCTTTTTCTCAGTCGGGAAAACGCCCGTGCGGAGCTCTGCCTCGGCTTGCAGCTTCCGCGACACAAAGCGCTGCTCTTGCTGCGAGGCGGTCTTTTTGGCCTCCGCAAGGCTCGCCTGCGGACAAAATGAACGCAGCAAAAAGAGTGTTCTTACCGGCCGGGTTCGGGTTCCGGTACTTACCTTGTGCTTACTTGTTTCTCCGTATGGAATTCCAAAGTGATGGCCTCAAACCTAATAGCGATGGCCTCCAACCTAAGAGCGATGGCCTCCAACCCAAGAGCCATGGCCTACAACCTAGTAGCGATGGCCTACAACCTAATAGCGATGGCCTCCAACCTAATAACGATCACCATCCTAATAACGATGACCAACCTACTAGCAATGGCCTCCAACCTGCTAGCGATGGCCTCCAACCTACTAGCGATGACCTCCAACTACAGGCGATGGCGTCCAACCTACTCCCGTATTTACCTTGTGTGTCCCTGTATTTAATTCCAATGTGTTCTTAGCCTATTCTTTTCTTTAGACTCGACCTTTCGACAATCGTCCGTCTTTCTTTCTCTGCCCTTTTTTCTCAAAAGAGTGTCTCGTCGAAAACTGTTACAGTTGTAGCTGCGAAGGGCCAAACAGGAGATATCGATGGCCTCCAACCTACTAGTGATGGCCTCCAACCTAAGAGCCATGGCCTCCAACCTACTAGCGATAAAATCTGACAAAGCCCTTTGGCTTCGATTGCGACTTGAGCGCCTTGATCTTGCCAAGACGAGCCTGATACAGGGCACAAAGGAGCTTCAGACACGGAGGCTGATTTCAATTCTTCATGCTCAAAATGAAAGCTAGAGTGCTTCATGCCTGAAACTGTTCCAGCTCCTTTTCTTGCGGTGTTCCTCTGACATCCTCACAGATATGCCCAGCTGACAGTCAACCGTAAATGCTTTGTTCTTGAGTTCTACAACGGTACAGTGGCTTGCTTTGGTTGAAGAGATGTTTGTTTGCTTGTTCAAAGCCTTGCCCACAACACCCTACGAAGACTCTTTCATCACCCACTCAGATTTCTTGAGAAGAAATCTGGGACTTGAGGTGTTGCACTAGGAACAAGAAGCTACTAGGGGCTCCTGGCCTTACTACTAGGAGCAAGGACGCTACTAGGGGCTCCTGGCATCGATACTAGTAGCATTCTTACGCTAGTATCTCAACCAACCTACGCAGATTGATGACTTTGCGGATAAAACGGCATCAATCAAGGAACCTAATAGCGTCCTTGCTCCTAGTAGTAAGGCCAGGAGCCCCTAGTAGCGTCCTTGCGATGCCAAGAGCCCCTAGAAGCGTCCTTAACTCTGTAGCATGAGAAAGAAGGCTACAGAATGCAACGCGTCTTTTCAGAGCAGTCCTTTCGCCTTTCTGCAAGGAAGTTGAGGGCGTCGCTCACTTTTTTGCTGGCTCCCTTCACAGTTCATGTTCCACTCATTCAAAAGTCAAAAAAGGAAATCAAACAAAAGAAAAAGGAACAAAGAATTGTCCAACTGTCTAAAGAAAGAAAAAAAGAAAAGAAAGGAAAATAAAAAGAACGTTCCGCTCATTGGTTAGGTCTACGGATCTTTCCAGAACTTCCACACGGGTGAAGGCCGAGGCCGTAGCTGGTGCCGATAGTACTAAGGAAGAAAGGAGGAAAGGCAAAAGAAAAAAAACATCTAAAGATCTAAGGTCTAAACAACCTACTAGCGATGGCCTCCAACCTAATAGCGTTGTCCTCCAACCTAAGACGCAAAGAAAAGAACAAAAGGTCTAAAGGTCTAGAGAAAAAAGCAACGAAGAAAAGGACTCATGGTACTTAGTAGGGTTCGTCGGCGCAAATAGTAGTTGGTTAACGGATGTTAACGGGTTAGCAGTAGGGTTCAAGGCAAACATTCTTGAAAAAGAAGCATCCGGTTGTCCTTTCTGACTTTTTTCAGCCGCCCTTACTTAATTAAGTAGGCCCCTACTTAATGAAGTAAGAGCTAGCCAGTGGCTTGCTCAGTAACCAGTAGCTACTGCCTACCAAACGCAGGATAGTTCATGCACTATTCATTTGGTTCCTAGATGTTTCGGAAAACTTGCATACTAGGTTTCTTTGCTATCGTTGGACCTTTCTTCCTGTCTTTTTCTTTATGGTCTTTCCTCTTTTCTTTGGACTTGTCATTCCTTCATGTTTTTTCCTGTTCTGTTTCTTTAGACTTTTCAAACCTTTTAGAACTTTGGAACCGTTTTGCTTCTTGTTTTCTCCACTTTAGCCAAAGACCAGCATTCATAGAAGTATTGAAGTAAGTAGCAAGTTCTTGGCATGTCCTTTCCCAAGGTGAGGAGAAGGACTACAACATGCCTTTGCTTGAACCATCGGACTCGCAACCCACTCGGAACCTTTTCAAGTGCGGCAATCTTCTCACAGATCTCTGTGCCGATCTCCTGGGTGATGGAGCTCAAATCCTGCAAGGCTTTCACCGTTGGGGTGTCGGTAGGCACCGTTGGGGGCTCGGAAAAACGTAGCAGCAAAGGTTTCCTACTAGCGTTGGCCTCCAACCTAAGAGCGATGGCCTCCAACCTAAGAGCGATGGCCTCCAACCTAAGAGCGATGGCCTCCAACCTAAGAGCGATGGCCTCCAACCTAAGAGCGATGGCCTCCAACCTAAGAGCGATGGCCTCTAACCTACTAGCGACCGCCTCAACCCTAAGAGCAATGGCCTCCAACCTACTAGTGTTGGCCTCCAACCTAATGGCCTCCAACCTAAGAGCGATGGCCTCCAGCCTACTAGCAACCGCCTCAACCCTAAGAGCGATGGCCTCCAACCTACTAGCGTTGGCCTCCAACCTAAGAGCGATGGCCTCTAACCTACTGGCGACGGCCTCCAACCTAATAGCAATGGTCTCCAACCTAGTAGCTTCTTGTTGCTAGAAGCGATGGCGTCCAACCTAAGAGCGGTGGCCTCCAACCTAAGAGCGATGGCCTCCAACCTACTAGCGACCGCC